TTCACAATCAACGCAATTTTATGCCCAGCACATCAAACTCGATCACATTTCTCATCAAAATCAAAAGTTTTGTAGTTGTCCTTTGCGATTTTGGAAAGTCGGGCTTGCATTGCACAAGCGCAGGTGTCGTTATTACTGCCGGAATCATGCGTCTGTGAAATCATGTGTCATTTCAAAATATGTTAGCTAAAGTTCAAATGGAAATAAAAAAACTAGAAAATTAAAGATAGAAACAAAATTGATACATATCTTGGGGTAAAGCTGGTGTTTAGCAAGCACATTGATCAATGGCTCTGCTAACCACTCGCCCTTGTGGTGCCATGCAATCATCTTCATTGAAAGGTGTCGTGTGATAAACTTCCATTGATCGTTGATGTATGTAAGCGACGCTGAGATAAAGCCGTATTTGTTGCGGGGTGAAGTCCACGCATCGAGTATGAGACCGAATTTGGAATCATTAGCCTAAAATGAATCCAATATCAAATATAAGTTATAAAAATTAAAAATACATTCAAAACGAAACCAAACTTAAATACGCACTTGTAAATCAGATAGCACAGAGGCTCGCATCCCAAGATATGCCTTGTGAGCAAAACCAGCTAACCAGGTACGTCCAAAGAGCTGAGCCGAGGGATTTGCGAAACAAAAGCAGGCACGAAGAGCCTCATCCTCGATTCGCGCCCAAGGTTGAGAAGTTCTCACAGCCCACAAGCCTACCATTTGGTTCAAAATGGTGTTTGAGAACCGAGAAGAGCCTTTTTGAACATAAAGATCGATGGTCGTCTGGGCGGTGGAAATCGTTTCTTGTTGTTGACGAGCTTGTTCACGTTCTTCAGCCACTGTCGGGGGAAGTTTACAACCAGCAGATATGGCCACATGCCGTTTCTTGCAACTTGGCCGACCAGATTTCCCAGCTTGTTTAGAACCATCGCGATGGGCTAACATGTTTGTAGGAGAACTGCCGCCTCCTCGAACATGTTCACCACACCATTTGCAATCATACGAATTCCACGGTCTGTCGTTCGCCTAGGTAAGAAAGTTACATGTCAGTCATATTGAGCCGGATCATCTAGAGAGAGATGTGGGATACTGAATCATGCTGATTCAGTATACTCACATCATTCCCGCCTTGATAAGGAGATCCAAAGTAATCTTTGATATTGTCATACTTGTTATTTTGCTTGTTGTCCTGTGGTTTTGATTTCTTTGCAGGTTTTATTTAATCCAGTTTTGCTGAAATCTAATCTTTGGTCAGACAAAAAAACTACTATGCAATGTTTATATGACTACAAAACAGAGTAAAAACAGTTCTTCCTCATTTCGTCACTACATATACTACCCATGATGCTTTGGTAACTATGAAACACAGCTGTCACTATATCCAACACCGCAACCACTACGCTCCGCTCAGGTTTTCGACCTATTTTGGGAGCGGAGCGCAGTGCTGCGCTCAATCTCACTACGCACAATATTGCTCTTTTTTATTTTTTTCTTACTTCGGTGTGCGTAGTGCAACACCAGTGTGCGGCGCACAACACTATATTGCGGCGCTCATCACTACAAAAGACCTGAAAAGTCTAAAAAAAACCATAAAAAAGAGACTCGAGCCCCGGCTCTGAGCGGAGCGATATGCTCCGCTCAGGACTTTCCTCTTCTCGGAGCACGGTGTGCAGCCTCCGCTCTGGTTAGCGGAGGTTTGAGCGGATGCCAAAACCGCTCTGCTTGCGCTCATTCAAGAGGACGGTTGCGGTATTGCTGTATCCACTCTTTCTTGGAGAGTGTAGGGGGATCAGGAGCTTCCTGAAATCTCAAACCACAAGCACAGGTGGTTGTGAGATTGGGACACAACTCTGTCACTGTGGGTATTGAGTTGGATGGGTAAGACTTGCTCTACGCGGGGGGCGTAGAGTGAGGCTTACCCAAGGTGGGTGAACCCCTAGACCCCGGGCCTTCCTGACGAGGGGACTTGCAGACTCTCTCCGACAAGAGGGTTGCAAGCTCACCTTGAAGGCCAATGCTGTCAGACGTCTGACAGCCGGGGGTGAGACAGAGAGTGGGGGGAAGGAGCTCCGATCAAACCTTGTGCGGGTGGGAGATTCCAGAGGAACGTGGGTTTGAAAAAGGAGCAGAATGTGACCCTAGAGCACTGAGCTAAGGGAGAGGCAGAACAGGAAAGACGGATCAGGAAAAAGGCTTTGGAGAGGAAAGTGTTTCTCAGATTGTGAAGGGGGAGAATACCTGAGGAGCGATAGGTGGAGAGTACAAAGGTCTGTGAGGTGCCTTTGAGGCTCTGCGTGATTTGTCACCTAACCGCCTGTGCCTCAGGCACAAACCCTCAGGCTTGGCACATCCGGTTATTTGGTAACCGGGGGCTGTCCCTTAGGCTCCTGCAACATGGACAAGGGTTATTCCCCGTGCCTTGTCAAAACCCAACAATCAAAGTCTATACAGAAGAAGTTCTTTTCCAGTGGATATCCATATCCCATTTCCAATAATCCTTGGGTGCTTTCCCAGACGGACACATCAGCAGACTGTTGTTGAAGAGGTAAGGGATTGCTGTGTGCAAGTAAGTTCCTTCCATTGTATGCACTGCCACAGGCTCTACCTCTCCCCCATTGTTTTGCAACAACACCATGGCCCTGCCTGTGAGCACAAGATCTTTTGTTTTGCTTGTTCAGGTTTGCTGTGGCAAAAATCTTTACCTAAAGGAGTCCTGGTTGTCTCTGTTCAGGGGCAAGTGTGGGGTTGATGTTGAGGATTTAGGTTCCTCATGTTCTTTATCTGTATCTTTCTTTCTGTTTCTCTTTTCTCTTTTCTCTTTTTTGTTTTGAAAATTCTTCATTTGAATTTCTTTGGTATTTTTTGATTTTATAAATTTGTTTCATAAGTTGAGGGAAGTTTTATGTTGGGTTCCTCTTAATTGGGGGGGAGTAAGGAAGGAGTATGAGTATTGATTACAGTATGTTATGGGGTTATGTAGTGCTATGGTAGTACAGCCGTTCCTTGATTGGTTCCTCCTAAAAAAAATTTCCAACTCTTTTAACAACTTTTGCTTTTTTTTCTTTTGGAAATGTCATTTATGGCACTTACAAAAATCTCAAAGAACATAACTCAAAGTTCTGAAACAACTTTCCCCAAAGGGATAAAATACTGTCATATCCAAACACTACACCAAATGTAATCTTTACCGGGCGGTAAAGAAAACTACTGACATAGAAAAGTCCTGAGGCAACAGGAAGAGAGCTAAAAATCTGAAAAATTATGCACCTTGTTCCTAGATGTTGGGGCGTCATGATGAGTATTTTTTTGTATTTTACACGCAGATATTGGTTTATGTACTAACAATAAACGCTGAAAATCATCAAAAACTCACATGTAACAATACCTGAAATTTGGGTCATGAGTATGAAGACAATATTTTGTGGTCTGAAAACTTCAATAACTTTTGCAATTCTGCTCCAAGTAACTCGATTTTTGGTTCATTCAAAAGCTGAACTATTCTCCTTCACACTTCATAATGTTAGTAAGGTGCTATCTAGTCATTTAAACACTCTACATATGTTCAAACAGTTCTGCATGAATATCTCTGTAGGATCTTTTTGAGACCAGCTACAGATGTGATGTCTGAGTGAAAAATGTAGAGGAAAGGCTCACCTTTTTAATGCACTTCAAATCGAGTGATTTGATTCAGAACTGCAAAAGTTATTGATGTTTGAAGATTTCAAAATCCTGTCTTCAAAATCAAGGGCCAAATTTCAGGTATTGTTACAGGTGGGTTTTTGATGATTCTCAGCCTTTATTGTTAGTACATTAACCAATGTCCGTGTGTAAAATACAAAAAAATACTCATCATGACGCTCTAACATCTAGGAACAAGGTGCATATTTTTTCAGATTTTTAGCTCTCTTCCTGTTGCCTCAGGACTTTTATATGTCAGTAGTTTTCTTTACCGCCAGGTAAAGATTACATTTTGTGTAGTGAAAACAATCAACACCCTGCGGGGTGGCTAGCGGCTCATACAACAAAAAAGATAAAACTGTGCAGGCACAAACATAAACAAAAGATGTAAAAACATCTAAAGACACATATGTACATAAACACTATAAAATTCTAAAAATCTGCCAAGAATAAAAAAAATCCTACACTAAAACACACACATGTGCACATTTTTTTTGTTGATTTTTAAAGAATATAGAAAATGACTATTCACACCAAACATAAATCAAAAATAACCACTAACTATTTTTTAACAGAAAAAAGGAGAGGGAGGGCGGGCTTTAAAATAAGAACTATCTGAATCAAAGATCTACAACTATAATTCAGTCCCAGTAGGTCCTGAACACAGCCTACATTCGGCTTTGGGTGGGGGGAGGTGGGGGGTTCCAAGCTTAAGGCAAGTTTGCTCCATCTCTTCCATCTCCTTCCAGCCTCGTTGAAGGACAAACGCAGCCACCGCCCAAAATTATCACAGGCTGCGAGGGCGCGGCGAACGCGCAAGAGGGCTAAGCAGCAAGCTTACTCGTAGGCCATGATGTGACACTGATTTAGCTTTAAATCCCTACAGCAGTCGGACACAATTCCGAATAAGAAGTGATTTACCGGTACTTGAAATATATAGAACTGTTTAATTTCTACGAAGTTATCTTGAGTATGATAAATTTTTGTCTTTGGTTGGGAGGCTTCTTCTTCCTGCCCCACTGTCAGATTCTTCGAACCTCCTTCTACCTCGGCCTGCTTCTTCGGATCTCGTTGTGCACGAGTCAGACAGTTTTTCCAACGCCGATTCTGGCCGATTTCGAGCCGGAAATCGTTTGGCAGCTGGCTATATAAACAGTCCAAGATCATGCGGAAAGATCTTGATTTTCAGACGTCCCAATCCATCTGCCCTTTTCTTTAATTCGACTTTGAATTTGAAACTCATTGCAGATTACTTGATTGGTACTCATCCTGAATTCTTTCTAAGGTCTTTCTCCTCGTATCTCTCCGACAAGTCAAAAACGATGAATCCCAATTTTTCTTTCCTGCTGTTGGTGATACAATTCATGTCTACGATCACCGTCATCTCCGGGAAAAATATTACCTGCGTCGAAGAGTTTCGCGGGTGGGTAAAATGGAGGGGTATTCGTGATCGTGAGTAAACTCACTGAAAGAAAGGAAGACTTTTTTGAAATAAGCAATCTAACTGGGTATGAGGTCTCGGATCAGGTTGTGTTTCTACCGACGGCTTCATCAACGACTGTGATAGCTGTGATAGACACAATTCCAGTAAGTCTCAAGAGCCTCCTTCACGTTTTCTTGGCTGAACTATATTCATTTGCCGCGAATCAGAGGGACAATACTGCGTCAAGGCAAAAACATTCGTTCCGAAAGGCATGAAAATCCCAACTCAAGACACGCCAGGAGTCATACTAAACGGAGATTGCCAAAATTATGAAAGCCTCACCCTTGAAGGAAAGCCTTATGGATTTGGTAGGTTATCCTAATTTAATCATTTTCTTTCCAAGTACAAAATTTCTGAGAATCGCGTATGTAGGTTGTTCTACAGCTCCTGATCAACCACAAAGCCTATTTTGCAATGCCATCCTACCAGAAACATTGTAAGTCTCATTCCATTAAATGGGTGCTAATGTAACAACAAAGACTTATACTTCTGATGTTCTAATCCCACAGTCCAAGTTAGTAACAAGCTCAGTTCCTTTGAATCCTTACCATACTTGAGTGCAACTTAACGGCATGAATTATGATATTCCAAGCTATGAAATTTGCAACTTCCGTCTTCTTTCAGAAAGTAAATTTCAGCTGACTGACGTTTTGTAACTCCCTTCAGGTTGCGATCATTGCAAGCAAGGGGATAAAAGACAGCCCCCGATTATCAAATGGAATTAGCCAAACACCGTGATTCGCAGTTGGGAGATGAAGTAGCTGTCAAGGAGAATACCATGTCTGATTTTATATTCACAATGATACTCTTGATGTCTGATTTTGCCTGGGTTCAAATGGAATAAACGACGAGGCCATTCCGTTATCAGTTCTTTTTCTGTAATCTGCATAAACTCAACAATCTATAAACCGCTTGCTTTTGCTGCCTCATTGTTGTCCTACCGGCCCCTCTGGTTTCTCTTCCGTCTTCTACATTTCTATGATGCAAATTACATTATTTGAGTTATCGTGAAACAAGCTGGTTCAAAATTCAAGACGATATTATTTGACTATTTAGCAAAGGAACAAATATCATAAGTAGAACATCCATCCGACATGATAAAGAGGTGCGAAAATGTATCCCAACTATCGGTTGCCATGGGTTTGTGTGTGCCCTGGTAGAACGAAAACATATATTTTGTTGTACTTCTCTCCCATCTGCTCAAAGGCGATCCATTTTTTTGCAAAACCCCACAAGCTCCAAGTTGAACACTTTCAAGCGCAATTGATTCAGCAAAACAGATGCAAAACTTTCACCCAGGACCATGCGGCCGGATGTGTTTTACAACAGCAGCACCGCCCCGCCCGAGCGGGTCTACTTACTGCCAGTGATAAATCAGATTGTAAACGCACGCTTGGGGCTTTTCATTGAAAGCTGGAAAAGTTTCCTCTAATTAAGTGTAGATGGGACTCATTGACTATTTTCTTGAAAAGAAAACATTCATCAATCGATTTACTAATCATTGATTTTTGAAATAAATAAAATTAGAAAATGTATATTTTTATAATATTTAATCCTATCTTCTTCAAACTTTAAATAAAACCTTGAAATAAAACCCCAAAAAAATAAAAATAAAATGGGCTATGTGCATTGAAAGAATGAGAAAACAGTAACGATAAGATTTTTTTTGGAATAAAAAAAAGAAACCAATCCAAAGTATGAGATATATCTATGAAAAAATACACCTCAATAATATAAGTATATATATATATAAGAAAACAATCTCAACTTCAGGTCTTACAAAAAAGGACTTTATAAAATCTGTGAATACATATGAAAAAGATGAGAAAAGTAAGAATCAAAAAAGGTACAGACAACCCCTAAAACGAGACTTGAAAAATGATACTCTTTTCCTTACAAAAACAAGCTCCCAAAACATCTAAGTAATCTAAGTTTCTAACGCATTCAAGTTATTTTTCGTCAAAGTAGTAGCGATCAAGAAGGGAAGAGGAGATTCGGGTTTTGGTCATCAAGCTTCATAAGTTACACCGAATCCAGCAGATCTGATCTGATCAACCAATCCCTCATTGAGGGCTTGATCACGTGATAAGAAAACATAGGTAGGTTTAGTTGATTTAATTTCATTTTCCAACGATGCTAGATGTTGATTTTGATTTTGAGGTTGAGATTGATTCCTTTCAAATGGGTTTTGAAATTGAACTAAAGCGTTTTCATCTGCTGGTAAAGCTAGGGTAAGTCCAGAGATCGGATGCTCTACAAAAAAAACCAAATGTGGTTACCAAGTTAGTGGATGTGATTCGAAATAAAAGATAAAATCATTGGAATCCATATAGATTTATTAAAGTGTTTCACATACCTGGTAGATCATCTGTAGGTCCATAAGTAGGTGAAGAAGTATCAACAGGCATTAATGGAAATTCACCTAAACCAGTTAACATCACAGAAGGTCTACGAGGAGAAAAATGATTGATTGAAGGATCAAAGCCACTAAGGTCCATTTGACTACCATCTAAATAAACACCATTCGATCCAAACTCGTAGCCACTTAGATCTGCTAAAGTAGTATAATCAAACGCTGATGGATAATCTTCATCTGGAATATACATGGGTGTAGCCCAGTATGGTGAAGGTTGTTCGGATAAACCATTTGAAGAAGTTGAGTCGTTTCCTCGAGGTTTTGGGAAATCAGGCGAAAGTTCTATTGATGATAGAGATACAAAGCATGAATGAGAATGTACAAGCGGTGATTTAACTTTGAAAGATGTAACAAATCGCTTACCTCGACTTCCTCTAGATTTCGGGTTATAGACTACATCGTGAACGTGCATAGGCCTGATTGGACTAGGTGGTGGAGGAGCACTGATAGCTCTAGACTTACGACGGGGTAAAAGTGATGGAGGTAATCGTTTTTCTACTACCATCTTATCAGCTTGAGGATCCTTTCGTCTCACGTTTTGAATCTCTTCAGAAACTCTTGCTTCCATTTGTCCTTCTTCCATTGAAATACCTGATAGTTTAGTTTCCATCACAATCCTTGCTACTACTTCGCATCTCAATGCTTCATTTCTTTCTTGTTCTCTTTGAAGTAATGTTTCTTCTGTTTCTTCTATCATTGAATTAGGTGAAGTTTCTGAAACAGGTGATTTTCGATTCGCAGCTTTACGTCTACCGGTAGATATTTTTTTCTTTGCTGGTCCATCTTTACGATAAACTGGTTTGTAACGATAATCAGGATGTAATTTTCTATGTAATTCTTTCTCCTGTTCTGCTTCACGTTCCCATCGCCCTTTCTCTTCAGCTGGTAAGTTTTTCCACATATGACTTACAATCCTACTGATTTGTCTATGATCTTTTTCTACGGTAGGTGGAATTAGATTGGCAGCGCAAGCGTGAGATCTGAAAAGGATGAAAGCGTTCCTAGGACGTTTGACATGACCAGGCGGGGTTTTACGAGCATGTGAAGGTCTTCCGGTTGAAGTGAGTGGACGTTGGTATCTTCCTGTAAATGAGCCATCGGGGCCCTGCTCGACAGTTTGATTGATGAACGGAGAGATGATATGCGTAGTTGAGGAAGGCAAGAGTGGTGGGGCAAGTGCACTAGGGTCAATGGCTTGAGGGAAATCAAATTGTAGACTCGAGCTTGAGCTACCGAGGGATGAAGCAGCAGACAGATCACGATGATGACCTTGCTGACGTCGGGCGATGGGCGCGCCATAGCTCAAAGGGCTCATGAAGGATGCTTCATCTGAGTACGTAGAAGGACTGAATAAGCCGGGTTGCGGACTGATAGGAGACGACTGTGCACCGCCGCAAGCTGGGTCAAGAAGGCGAGCAGGTTCAAATGACTGATGTTGGTAAGGCGCTTGTATGATGCTATTGAAATCAGTCTGGAGTCGGCTAAGAGCGCGTGCAGAAGCAGAGATAGTTGGAGTCTGAAATCGGTATTCAATAGGTGTAGGTGGCTCCAAAGCTAGCGCGGGTCCACTCATCATTTCCAACGAAGACTAAGAAAGAAAATTGGTAGATCATCAGCAATTGCTCGGTTGGTATAATGCTGGGCCAATCATAACCCTAGCCTTTCAATTACTCACGTCAAGATGTGAATTTGCAGAAAAAAAGCTATCGGCCGAGTCTGGCGTACGTTGGATCGAATGATCCGCAATTTCTGATTCAAATGGATTTGATTCAAGTGCCAATTGTCTAGCGTAATCAAAATCATCGTGCGAGTCGGAATTTTGTGAGTCGTCCGGATTCATAGAGACAAGAAAATCATCCAAAGAGATAGTATTTTCGTGTTGTTGGTCATTAGATCCCATGATGAATAAATCCCGATGAGATGTGATGTGATAATCAAAAGTATAAAAAGGGCGTTTAAGCGTTTCAGCGTTTGACGTGACGATTTTTTTTGATAAAGTGAAAGAGAGCGCGAATAAAAAGTCAATACACAGCTAAGAAAACAACAAAACAAGGACAAAGAAAAACAAGAACTGAGAAGGAAGACCAAGACTAAGACGCGGTTGATTGTTCTCAAGCGTGAGGCAAGACAATGAAAGCAGATTTAACCGTAAACAAGAAAGAAGTAAATGATTCGTGCGGGTATAAGTCTAGTCGGGGATATGATCAAAGAGAGGGAGTTTTTGGGATGGGTTTCTTTATAACAAAGAAGCAGCTTTGGGCTATATGACCGCTCCGAAAGACAATAAAAAATAAAATCCCAAAGAAAGAGGAAAAATGCAATATGCAAAGCACTGAGAAAATGACGAAAGGAAATAAGAATCAGAGAAAGAGAGTCTTTTTTGAACTTGCTGAGAAAAGAATATGATAACAGAGAGATGGAGAGATAGACAGATAGACAGAGAAAGAGAGAGAACAGAGGCCCGTTGAAGATCGGCAACGGCGATGATCTAAAAAAAGGGTAGTAAGAGGCTATCCGGTGAAGCCGTTTTTTGAGATGAGAGAAGGGCAAGATGGTTGAACGCGAATGTTATCCACAAAGACTTCAGAGTGAGATGTGAAGGGAGGTAAATGGGAGAGAGAAGGATGCAGAAGGGTGATGTTTAATAACAGCCCTCTATGGGTATCACACCTGAGCGATTTTATGGGAAGCGAACCGGGATGATATCGCAAAAGACCCAAACAGAGGAGCGCACTGACCTGGGGAACTCTATCCACTATCACGTACAAACAGCTTTTCTTGAGATGGTAAAAGAATCCAATCGAGGTGAAGTACAAAGCTTTACGAATAAGTTGAGAGTAATCGAAAAAAAGTACGGTGGACAACTTGAGCTAAACTGATGTAAGTCGCTGTGTGTGGGTGTATAAGTGTGTGGGGTGCCGCGTTTTACCACTCAACGAACTTGCTTTGTTTGATCGACGGGTGGTTGCTTTCTTCCTTGAAGAATTGAAGCTCAGTATCACAAAGGATGATGAAAGAGGGCTATAGAACAGCGATTGTTCTTATTGATATTGAAAGCGATTCTTCTTGATAGTTGAGATGATGATGTAGAAGAATTTGCTGGGATAAAAGGCAAGACCGCGAGGGGAAAGCAAACAGATTGGAGGAGAACAAAGTAATCCTGGATATAAACAAACAAGAAAAACATCCGAAGGCGAAATAAGAACATATACATCGCGTCAATAGTCCACCACCGCGATGAAGGAACTTTATCTGATCTAAAGGTTTTTTGGAATGGCTGTGATGATATAGAACAAATGTGATACAGACCTTTACCTCTCGAAAGCTTCGAAGCGGAGAAAGATTGATTAGCCCCGAGTGAGAGAGAGGAAGCGTAAATCAGTGGGCCAAAGGGGCCTAGAGCGTGGGTTTGACGAAGAGACCTGGATGGCAAGCGAAAGCTTCGTTGTTTTAGTTGAGGGAGTGGCAAAGAGAAATACTCGAATCAATGATGATATCGAGAATGAAGATATTGTAGAAGGTTATGAGATCTGGTATGGAAGCGTGAGAGATACGCTCGAAAGGAGGAAGTATATAATTGTATTTTGCTTGTATCCTAAGAATCAAATCAGATCACTAGAATGTACAAAATAGCTCAAGCAGGAGTAGGCTGAAGACTGATAATGGAGTGGGAACAATATTGTAAGGTGTATGGTAGTTGAAGATGATTAAGAAGAGTGGGAGGCAGAGGATAAGCCGATTGACTAGAATTTATACCAAATCACTGGGCGATAGTAAGAATTCAATGATACTAGCGGATGACAATGACGGGGTAACAGGTCATCAATCTGATAGAGGTAGCCAACTGATCCGGGGTGGCTAAATTCATGGGCGGTAGGAGACCATTAGGAGGAGGATGATAGTCAGTCAGCCGGGTAAGTACCTTCCAGTGCGTGATAAGATTGACGACGGACTTGAGTGAGGATCCCAGCTCAGATCAGGTTAACAGTCTGGAGAAAAAAAACAATATTTGTATTGGGAATTGGTTGAGATGATTGAAAAGTCAGCTAGCTACACCGTCATCAATAACCTCAACCTCAACTACCTCAAACTCACATATTTAATTTGAAGGAAAGAAGCGTGATGGATATGTGGTAGGTTAACAACAGTCTAGTAAGAAGAAAGGCTCGAATAACAATAAATGAAACCGTCAAGGATGGATGGATCACAACAAGTCAGCCGTCAACATATGTACTCTGATTCCCATTTCCTAATTAACGATCTGAACAAAGTGATACAAATGGTGTACTATCATCAAGAGGAAGCAAGTCAAATCAAGTCAATGTGATGATTTGATTTTTGTAGTCCTAGAGATATCATATCTTCTTCATCCTCATCATTCAACATATATCACAATCCTCAATCTCAATTCCAACCATCTAGACAGGATACCATTAAAACCAGTTCTCAAATATGTAATACCCAAGCTCATGAAGCTTTTCTGCGCCGGAAAAAGAGATGTTAGAGGTACCAGCTATTTCATGACGACATATAAACCTTGAATAATCTCACCCTGAACGACTGAGATTGCAAAGGTACAGTCGTTTTCAAAAAGCTTGCCAAAATCTGCCCGCAAAACTCGAGCTATTTGGCGGTGAAATTGTGGCAAGCTTTTTGCAAACGACTGTATATCACTCGAATGATATCATATCATATACCTGAAGTATTTGTACACACACAAACCATCTCACCAAGCATGTGTACTGAAAAGGAATTCATTTTCATATCGAATCGAATGTCGATCCAAGCGCTCCAACTGATTCTTGAACTGTTTATGTAAGTACAGCATACTTACATTTATCTATCCTTGCAGATAACGGTACAACTAGTCTACATGAATCTGGTATATGAGTTTAAGAATCTAAATTCGGGTGATAGAGATCCGATTTATTTCATCTCAAGCGTGTATTCATGTCTAAGACTCTTTATCATTTCGTGTCTTGAATCCTTACCCTTCTGTCCATCATGAGCCAGAATCGTTATGTTAGATTATTTACTTAAGTTGGATTAACATTCTCTCATTTAGCAAGAAAAACAAATCCAAAAGATCAAGTGCTAGGATGTATGATGTCAGGTAATTCGTATTTGGCTTGTTTAAACTTTCTACGTATTTGATTATTTTTCTGGAGAAGTAAAAGAAGAAAAGAAAACTGTAGATCTCTTATTGTCAAACATTTTTCCATCATCTGATTCACGAATCAAATATGTTTGGACGTTCAAAATGCCCTACTTGAATTCCAGTTTAACAAGTATTGGCTCAGAGTCAGATTGAAGATAGACTTCGAACAATTTCATTATGAAACATCTCTCATTCCTCTATAGCAAAACAAATCCCTGACTTTTCCAGATTGATATGAATAAGATCTGATTCATTTGTGTAAACGTACGGCCACTCTTGATCCGCTCGCTGGTGGATTGACCAATGTAAGACAGGATATCGAACACCAAATAGAATTTCATAGTCTCTCATGATGGATAAATATGTATCATATACAATACACTATGTACTCATCTCAATCCAAATAATTTAGACTTCAATCCTTCGTAAGAAGACTTACTTTGAAATCCCGTTCCCTTTACTGATTTCATTTCATCTTCCAAAGATCTGAAGTTGTGTTTCAAGATCTTGATTTAATTTGTAACTTGCCTTATGTTTTTGGTGGGTCTCTTGAAAGTCTTTCTTTGAGAAAGTAGGGGAATGATCTCCTCATTTGTAATTTCTTTCGTCATAACTAGTACATTTTAGGATTTTAGTCTTTCAAAACTTTTTGAAGGTCCCTTCTTCGCGACGATCAAATTTGTAGTTTACTTAGTTTGATCTCGCATTGGTTTGTAGATATATATTGTCGGCTCTGATTATGACCCTTCACCACCCCCAAAAAGATTTTAAAGCTGGGGTATGATGTAACCGTAGACAGATAGGGCGCGTTCCTCAAAACAGTCGAAATATAAACTAATTGATTCTTGAGAGAGAAGTAGAGAAGATGATGACGTCCGGGCTTGCAATCTAGCTATCAGATGTACAGCTCAAGTATTACAAGTTGTCAAATACTTGAGCTTGATTCAAAGTATAGAATTCGATTTTAGCTACGCAGAAAAGCTTCAAGGAAACCCTGTAAAGTAAACAAAATTACCAAGGGTTTTATTTTGTAAAGATGGTGGACAGAAACACGATGTTTTAGATAATCTTAGAAATACATCTTCTTGGGTTCGAACAAACTCATCAGAAGTGCATACCTATATCAAACTGATATGTTCATATTTCAACTCTTTAGAAATGCAAAGGATCTGAGTTCAAAGCTATACAAGCCTATATTGATGATTCAACTTAGCCTTAGGTATCAGCCTTCTACCTTGTCAATCATGTCTGATTCGTCAAAAAAGCTTTCAAATATTCGTAAACAAGAAAAAAAGGAGCAAGTACAATGCATCATCTTTGACACATGTGAAGCTCACATATATTTGTTGGAATTGGTAAGTGAGTGAGCTACAAAGTACGCGTTTCACTAACACAATCTAGTCAACAAGGTATCTTGCAAGAGATGAAGATATATATGGAAAAAACCCTTATTCACAATCGATGAGATATATATGGCAATTGATTGACCAGTTTGGTCTTATAGGATGGCTTCAATCATAGTGATACCTTCCTTTTCAACCTCTGCTAGGAGTGGGTCTACGATATCACGGGTATATGGTGCCAAAATTCCGCGCTTGTTGATAACGCCATCCAAGATTAATTGGACGGCAATTCCACAAGGCACACCGACCAATTTGGCCTAGATTCCAAAACGTGCCTGGTCAATACGGTTCATTGAAAGAAGATGTTTGATAGTCACTCACCATTGCTGAAGGTCCCTCCCCGGTGTGGAATGGTGCACCATATTCAAGAAGGGTCGAGGTTCGAGTTTGCTATTGTGAAAAACCGATAACATCAAAAATCAACATCTCTAAATTTCAGATAGCTATCCATTGAACTGACCTTAGATCCATCCTTGAGTTGGATTTCAAATTTGTGTTGAAGCATTACCATATCACGCTCTCCTTTTCCATAAGCCATCTTTTGCTCTAATGTAGCACAGAGAGTGTCTAAGATACTTCGACGTGCAATGACCTTTTCTTGACCAAAGACTCCGATCCATCGTAAACCGGATAAAATTCGCTCTGCCTCACTTTCGGTGGGGAAGGTGGTTTTAGCTTTGATGGCCTCGATCAATGTGTTCTCATTTGAATCAGAAGCTCCGAGAACTCGAGCGGTGACCTCATTCCAAGTGATTTGGGCATCAGGCTTCAAGTAAGCTTGGTCAGCTTCATTGAGGAACCCAATATCAACCAAAGTCTTAATGAAAGCTGGGAATCCTTGATATCTCATCGTTCCACGAACAACAGTCTCGGCTTCAGGAATAGCGTAGAATTCTCTGAATGGTGTCGAATCTCGATTGGGATAAGCCACAAAAGCAAACGCCGGTGAAATAAAGTAAGGGTTTGCGTGGTTCATCAAATCTTGACCTGCAACCTCGATGAGTTTGCCCTTGGAATAAAGCTTAGCAGAATTCAAGAGAGCTAAGAGGACTCCTCTTGATGACCAGGAGAACTTGTATCCTAATGGGTTGTTCGAGCTCTCAGGAGCAGGTAGACCACCACAGTAGGAGATGAAGCCTGTGACTTTGCCACCCTTTTGATGAACTTCATCAATCGTCTTGACAGCGTACAAGTGATCGATTCCGGGGTCAAGTCCAATCTCGTTGAGTACTGTGATGCCAGCTTGCTGAGCCTCCTGATCTAAGGCTCTCATCGCCGGGCTGACGTAGCTTGTGGTGACAACATTCTTCTTGTATTTGATTGCGCTCTTGATGACGCTTGCATGATGTATATATGGAATCAAAGAGATGATCAAGTCGTGCTCCGACACCGCTCGGTCCAACGCAGCAGTATCCGTGATGTCAAGCGAGATGTAATTGGCGTCTCTGACTAATTCTTCCGCAAGAGACTTGGCAGTTGCCAATGTACGACAGGCAATCGTCAATTCGTTGTCAGATCGGCGAAGGATGTAATCGGCAGCGGGTTGAGCAACAAAACCAGACCCAAGGAGGAGGATTTTCTTTTTCGCGGGTGTGATGACGGCAGGAACCGTGCTCTGATGAGCAGGAGGAGCTTCCCCAACTTTAGCAGCAGCGATGGTAGCACGAGCGAACTCGGGTAAAACAAATGCAGCCTCATGTACGCGCTTGTTGTAGTATCGAGTGTTGCGGACCTGTCGGAGTGGCTTTTTTAGGTTTCGGTCTTTATCCAGAGAGCACACGACGAAGCCGATGGTTCCACTGGGGTAAGTCGGAATCGAAGTGTAAGCGTATTCGACTTGTGGGAAAAGGTCCTTTGATCCTTTGATCAACGAGTGGATGAGTGGTAAGTGCAACCAGATGCACTCTCCCTGGGTTGAAATCGAACCATTTGGTCTCAAGGCATTTTTCAAAAGTTGGAAATATGGCATTCCAAACAATGTTTGCGCTGGACCTTCGTTTGGATCAGAACTATGAGTGGACAAAGTCGCGTAAGCCAAGAGTGTATGATTGATTTGAAGAAATGGGAGAATACCTATCGGTGATGATGACATCAAATTTTCCGACTTGATCTCTCAAGAACTGGAAGCCATCTCCGATGAAGAGGGTCACCCGAGGATCGTTAAAGCCGGCAGCCATGTGTGGAAGGTAATCTTTCGAAACTCGGGGAACTGCTTCATCGATATCACACAGCACAGCGGTTTTGACAGAAGGATGCTTCAAAACTTCTCGTAATACACCACCGTCTCCACCACCAATTACTAAGACATGCTCCGGGTTCGGATGAGAGTTGAGGGGTATATGCGCAATCATTTCCTGATAACTATCAAGTGTTGCACGCCAAGATGGTTGATTCAGTGATCGCGAAATCGCTCCTGGCAGCTCAGTCAGAAATGGATGCTAACCTAAACTCATCGTTCTCCACGCATTGGATTGCGCCATCAAGCACTAGAACGTTTCCATGGGCCACCGACTCGAAAACAAGGACGTCTTGGAACTTACTCTTCTCCACATGAAGAATTTTCTTCACCTGATCGACAATAAAAATGATTAGCTTTCAGGATCCGGATCGAATAAGTAAGAAATCGGGCGTACTTGTAAAGACATAGCTTGTCCAGGCCATAGCGGACTTTCTTCCTTGAACCAGCCGTCTGTAAGCGAGCAACGAGGATAACATCAGCATCGCGCTTCATCTTTTGAGGTGTCTTCCGAGGATCTGATATGAACACCAACCTTGGACAGAAGGGTGAGTTAATTCTGCCATTTTCCTAGGATAACTAAATGAAGACTGAAAGGTGAAAAATCAGAGTTAAAATGGCTCCAGTGATACTGGTGAAGGAAAATTTCCAGCCTCTTTTCAAACTTAACTAAGTCCCTCAGAGGTCGCAGCCACCGGGAGAGCCGTGACTGTCCGGCCCTGACACTGACACCTGACTGTCAGGCCCCTCACAAACCATGTAATCATGGGTCATAACCCACTGCTGAAAGGTCGGTTGCTACCTGTTGCATCCTCTGTCTCGACTGTGGTCATCCGGTCAACAGGCAAACAACAGTCCTGCTGACAATACTCTTTTGCAATGATTTCAAAACTGACGAAGGATTGGTTTTACAATTTGTTCTTGGTAGGAAAGATCCAACGTAGTATGAGGGTATTTGTAAACTTTTTTTCGACAATTTCCAAAGTACTTTCACTTTATCAGGGAGATAATGGTGAGATAACTTGACCTTGACATAATGTCTAAACACACTCCATTTAGCTTTACCTGCACTAGTATTCAATCTATTACTCCAAATCAAATCAAGTTCAGTGGGTAATTTTTTTTCAAACACTTCATGATTTGATCTTTCGATTGATGATTATACTAAATCGTCACGTATTTGTAACGCGACTTCAAAAGTCGAGCCGGTTGATCAACTTGACGCATATATGACTCATAGAAAGCTCGTGCGATGTTTGAGGATTAGATCTTGGATCATCATCACTATTGGTCAACTTGGAGCTCCAAGATCAAGAAGATGTTGTATAAGTACAGCCGTTGTAATAACTATCGGCAGACTTTTGAGAAGATGTGTAACCACAGGATTTTATTCTGAAAGTCAAAAACTCGAATTTTTTTGACTTTCAGATCGAAGTGTAGTGTCCTTCTTGAGGATTGGACAGATAGTTCCGCATTTCCTCATCACGATCAGTCACGAACAGTCACGAACGCTTTCAATCTCTCTCCTTCCGGCTATCCTTTCCTCAAATCAAATCAATAACCGGAAAACAAGTCTCTTATCGCCATGACATCATCTCACATGATGTCTTTCTGTCCATTTCAAGCTTTAGGTCGTTCACCTCACTACTTTATAAACCCACCACCGTTCACACTGAAATCTATCCTCACAATTCACCTATTATTGACCAGAACTATCTTCATATTTCATATATCATCCACCTTATCATCATTCTTCTTTTTTCCATCGTTTTCCCAAATACAACATCGTATTTGTACGTCATTTATTTCATGTTAATGATTTTTTTTAACTCTGCGTTGATGTATTCTTTTTTTGGCTCTTGATAGTTACCAGAATGTCTAAGAACAGTTCAATTGCTCCGGCCGAGACCCCCTCAAGTGCCTACATGAACCCTTGTGAGTTGCTTTTCACTCGTCTTTTTCGGTTGGCTTCTTCATCTGATTGTTCCTCACTTTCAGTGTTCGAAGAGGCGGATGATCGGGTAGGTAACGATTGACGTGCAACCTGCAACAGACAAGACCCCTTGTTGCGTGTTGGGACTCGCGGTCGTGAAATTTTCGATAACAAGAATCAAATGAGATTCAAAATTAAATTCAAGATTTATACCGACCAGGAGGTCGATATCAATGCTCCAAATCCAAGCACTCCCAAAGTTGGGGCTGGTAAGAAGGCAGCAAAGGTTTCCAAACTCAATTTAATCGATTCTAAAGCGATCAACAGCGGTAACCTCGAAACGAAAATTTGCCCTTTTGGAAAGAGTGTGATTGAATTCAAGGACCTACACTGGGAAAATGTAGTATTTTTCCCAAGTGAAAAATGATTGACCTGAAGGACAAAAAAAATTGAAAAAGGTGGAATTCTGCATTCATTCTGCATGTGCATTAACACTGCATTTTTCTGCATTGATGCTGCATTTTTTTTCATTAATGGTGCATTAATGGTGCATTTTTATGCATTAACATAGCATTTTTAATTATTTTTGACATTAATTCTAATCATTTTGCATAGCCGAAAAATACTACATCTGTGCAGTGCTAGTGGCTGATGCGTGTGAGAAGTACGAGGCTGGGATGAAACATATCATCCTGAACAGTCCATTCTCGCCAGAACTCAAGTGGAAAGCCAGCATTCGCCGGGCCAAGTGGGTTCTCACTGATTTTGATGTATGGCAAGAATTGGTCTACACTCTTGAGAAATCCGTCAAAAAGAAGTGTCTTGTTTCGATTGAAAATGAGAACGTTCAAGTTAAAGCGAAAGAGGGAGTTAAGGCGAGTTTGGTCTTTTCTCTAACCAGCTTATATTTCTTCCTTTCACCGATTGATTCATGTTTGTTGGCATTGACAGGAATCCGCGACTAAGAAGCTCATTGCTTCGACTAGCAGAGGCGGGACTCAAGATCAAGAATCTGAGGTGAGTACACGACCTACAACCATCAAGTTTTTATTGAGGTTTCTGCTTTCTATTACCTTAACAGGAATCGATCAAAGAGCAAGAGTTGGCTACTTTTGCTAACAAGATTTTTAGCAAGTTTGCGATTGAAAGGTCCTCCGGAGGATCTGGTAAGCCCGGAGGCCCAGGAAAGATTTCGACTTTGCCTTGGGATCCAACCTTCCAATACAAATTGACTTACCACGCCGCCTGGGTTTGGGCAAATGGTGCTGTAGGTATTGAATGATGCATCTTCATTCTGTTTTTGTATATGACTGACTGCTTTCGATTCTGTTGGATGGCCAACATCGCCACCAGCAAAATACCGCCCAATACTGCAGAGTTCCGGTATGAGATCCAGAAGAACCGCTGGATCCACCCTGACATGGGTTTGGATCATTGGGTGGATCTGCGTTTACAAGGAAAGCCTTGACGATCACTTCCTATCAATCCGGCTTCATCATCAGTTCAACAAACTCCACCTGGTGGAGTTGTATCCACCGACGAAGGGATCTACAAAAAGCAATCCCTTTCCCATTCGACCTCAATGCCCAATATGAATTCCGGGTTGGTGAAGGTAGGTGAAAAACGTGTCGCCTCCGGATCTGGTGACATGATTGACATCAAGGCCGACTTGAAGAAAATAAAGGTAGAACATGGTGAGCTAATTGTCAGGGGATATCCAATCAAGACCAAATTGGCACTTACTGACACTGGGTTCTTTTCGGTCCAGCTCCAGAGTCCAAGTTTCCCGCCAATGAACCAATCTATATTTCCAGTGATTTCGAGAGTGACTGGGAAAGCAATAGTATTAGTAGCAGCATTGAGTTTGAGCTCCCAAGGCCTTCCACCTCTCACTTGGTGGAATTAGAACTGTTCCTGACTGATTGTGGAATTGAAGATGATGATGAAAAGACTCAAACCCTTCTTTGAGAAGCTGGTATCCTCTCGTGGACCGACTTAATCCCAAGCATTCAGTTCACTGAAGACAGTCTAACCTCCCAAGGTATTGACCGTCAAGTAGCCAACCGCCTGTTGACCGAAGCTCAAGCTCGTTTCTTGAAATGTAAGTTGTATTATTATTTTTTCCACAAACGAAGCTGGGTACTGACTTATTTGTTTTTGGGGTCTTTTCTATCTCAGGATCTAGATAATCCATCAAACACCAAATTGACTTTAGTATATCAAATTATCCCCTGCTAAGACTCCGATCAAGCGATTCTATTCGTTTCATCATCCTCATTCCACGTTTCACTTTATTATCAGGCTATGATCGGCTGCTGATTGACTTCATATCGAATTGAATGTTATACTATTTTTTATCTTATGATCAAATGTGCCCTTCACATATTGTTATCCGCAAACTGTTTTGAAATCTTGTCGTCAGTTTTATCGAAATAAACCAAAAAATTCTGATCTCGTCCTTAAAATGTCTTATGTTATCCTCAAGTCTTATCCAAAACCAAAAAAAACTTTATATGTCGTGCTTAAAATGTCTTATGTTATCTTTGATCATTTTAGTTTCTTGATGTCCGTCCTTCTTGTTGGTTTGATACCTGAATGCAAACATTTTTATCCTTGATTGACAGTGCGTAAACAACCAACGTGAACTCATTCGCTTGAGATACCTCACATGGTATTTCAAGCGCTTTCTTGTACAATACCAACCTGAAGTGGTTATGCTTTGTCAAACACATTGCATCAGTTGAGACACGTGCATAAAATTATGCACACCTCAACAGGAATTTTAGGTAATATTTGGATACCTAAAGAGAATGACAAGACATTCTCTCATGAAGGCCCATTTGAAGGTTGGGCCTTCGTGATCTTTTGATGCGTTGAGGATTGTTACTCATCAAATGAGTCACAATCCTCATGAGTTCCAGGATTTTGAAGAGCTTGAATCAAAATAAATTCTTCACTTGCAAAAAAACCACGAGATATCTAAAATCTCAACAGTTGGCTATAGCAGTTGCTGTGTACACACTTGAATAAAATTAGATAACGGAAATAAATTTTTGACACCTTAAGTGACTTGGGAATACCACACACAACACTAGATTGAACCCGAAGAGGGATCAATTTACAAAGGAAAATGAAAGAAAATTAAGAGTTTTCAGATTTATCAACAACTCTGGAACAATTTAGTGCAAAGAGAATCTGTGAACAAAGTCATACAAGCGACAAAGACAGACGCTTCCTCCCCAGCCACATTGATTGCGCGGTGGAGAGCTCGACTGTGTTTTAACCGAGACTTAAGGGGCGAAAAACCCAGCTCGATTGGGTTGAAATCGGGGGAATACGCTGGAAGATACAGTAACCGGATTCCATGAGCTTCACAAAGGTCCGCGATGTTGCCTCCGTGATGGATTGGAGCATTATACATCACGAGGACGCTGTTTCGACCTGGCCAAGCATTCATTGCTGGAAACTAGACACAACAATGATCATCAGTGCACTATTGATTATCATCGTGGACCACGTCAGATATTTAATAAGATGTACTTACTAGTGATTCCTCCAAGAATCCCTCAAAATCGATTCTGGAGTATCCACCAGGCTGGATTGCTAAGGCTACCAGGCCACTTAGAGAAATTGCTGGTAAGACGGACCATCTCTGAGATCAAGTGGCCCTCTCAAGTCGGACAGTTCTTTCGCCACGAGGAGCGCGGGCATATTTGCGGTATAAATGCCGTTTGTTGACGGCCGTTTCGTCTTGGAAACAAAGTTTATCAGTACAATGTCATCACTAAAGATCCAAAGGCAGGTTAAATAAAATCTCACCGGTGAAAACCAGGCAAGCTGGGTCAATTCCAAAAATTTGCCCAATATACGCACCTCGCGCCTCCTCCGATTGATTAGGATGGACGGTGCGGGCTTTCTTTTGGGTCCATCCAAGTTTCAAGCGAACTTTGTTTGAAAGAGTCTTCAGGGGAACTATAATTGCAAACCGGTTGGATATCTTCGCTTGAAGTTCATCTAGAAATAAAGTGGGATCGTGTTGAAGTGATTCAATAATGAAATCGTGTTGAGCTTGGCCTAAAATTGGTCGAGCTCCTTGGGTCATGTGATCACGGCACGGGTGGTTTGGTACAAATCAAACCATCGCCGGACGGAGGTGAGAGATATGTCGACACCAAGGGTTGATACAATATTGTGGAATCGAACACCTCGCAATACCATCCGTATCACAACCATCTTGATATCGGCCGGATATGTGTTGGTAGGCATATGTTAAAAAGCTAAATCAAGATTAGCACGTTGAGAAGATCAAAAAGAAAAGCAAAAAGGCATGATAAACAATTATGATTGAAATGATGGGTTTGGTGAGAGGGTGATGTGAATGATGAACCAACTGACTTCACCATGCAGAACACCGACAGCAGGCTGGATTGAGTTGATGTGATGTGGGAAAGAGATGTGAGTGAAACAAAGAATCGAAGAATCGAAGAATCGAATCGCATTGGGGCAAATTGGGAAGGAACCTGGAAACCGGTAAACAGGAAAATAGAAAAAAAACCAATAACCGGGTTTGGTATGGCACAGTAGGGTGTAATGGCAATATAGGGAGAGAGAAATGTGAACTTACTTGTAAGTAAAGTTCCTTAAAGTTCTCAATCTCAAATGGTGTTTTTTGAGTTTTTGCCCTCTTCTTTAAATCCTGCGGTTACACATCTTCTCAAAAATATGCCGATAGATATTACAACGGCTGTAAACAAAAACGATTAATGAAGAAAAAACTTGAATATATATGAATTTTATTTTTCGTTACACCTCGGTGACCTTTCTACCGGGATGTGGCGTGGCTGAAAGGTCACGTGGAACATCTGTGCTGGCTTTCACGGCTAAGGGACAGGTGGTTGTCACGCTCACACCCGAAGCCACGAAGCCACGTGGCGCCATGCTCTTGGGCAGGGCGAGGGCCAGGGCGCAGGCCATGCCCTCGCCGTGTCCTGAAGGGGCCGCATGGCCACTTCAGGGCCTGTAAACTTTGCGCCGATTGGGAGAAATCAATTGGCTCTCATGATCATGATTCGCGTCTGTCGATTGCTCGATCATAATCATCAATCCACCAATCAGAAAAGGATTAGAAAGCTGCTTATCAGCATCAAAATCTGTAAGAAACTTAGAAAAAGCACACCTCAGTTGATAGTTATCAAGCAGGAAGTTGAGCAATCAAGTTAGATTGCTGAAAGTTCTTGTTTGCTCATACCAGCATCTTCTATCTTCTTAAGCAAGTGAGCCACAATCTGAGGTATCTGGATTGGTCTTGAAAGTGAACAATCTTGGTGAAAACTTGCGCTCTCAATTTCAAAAGGAGACTGAAACAAAAACTTTGAGTAGGTGTAAGTACATTAGAAGTTTGATCAAACAGAATGAGATTTCGGAAACCGAGTCAGATCGCGAGATCTTAGTTAACACAAAAAAATGAAAGTCAATCAGAATTTGTGATCGATCAGAATTTGTGAACAATCAGAAGTTTGAGATTGATCAGAGGTTTGAATCAGAAGTTTGAGATTGATCAGAGGTTTGAATCAGAAGTTTGAGAGAAGATGAATTTCATAAAGCTTCATGGAAACACTTTCATCCAGCTCTTCAAGCACACTTGTTCCATGAGGGTGTACGTTTTCATTGCACATCTGGAGTCATCCATAACACGACCCGCGGAAGAGAACGAGCTTTCCGAAGGGACACTTGTTGCCGGAATGGCAAGTATGGCTTGTGCAAGCTTTGTGAGGTGAGGATATTCTGAACAAATGAGCTCCCAATACCCTAAGGGTGTCATTGATCGGGGCTCAACAGGACGACTGAGATACGATGAAATCTCATCTCGAAGGTGATGAACAGTCTGAGGGTCAGACTCAAAAGTTTTGTCAATCAAGTCCGAATCGGAGCTTGGATGTAATTCTTGAGTTTCAAAATCTTCAAGTGCTTCAGAGATTCCTAGATGAGTACACGCCGTGTGTATGTGATCTTCTAGAGTCTCACGCGATAAGATGTTGAGACAGATCCCTTTGAGTTTGTTCCTGGGATCAAGTACAGCAGCGATGAGGTATGTGTGCTTTGTGATTGCTTGGTTCCTGTAATCACAAAGCTTATCATACATTGGGTTCATAGCAGCTCGGAGGCCAGGTATCGTGGATGAAGCTTCCATAGCCTGTCATGTGAGTTAGTGATATCAGCACAAAACTTGCATTAGATTCACAAGGTGATATGTCCTTACCGTCTCGAGGCGTTTCATCATTTTTCCGTATGCTAGAGCTGCCAGACAGAATGTAGGGTAGTTCAATGCTGAGAGTTCGGATGTGATCCTTTCAAAAGGCTGAAGGAACCAAACAAGATTCTCAAGTAATATCCATTCTGACTTGTTGATGCGGATGTTGATGTATTGTGGATCGTTATCAAGCTTGAAGTTGATCACATTCTTCAACCGGACCGCTCGGGCACAGACATGAGAGAGTGAATTCCAGTGAGTCAGACATTCAGTACGAAGACCTAACGGTTTGCCAATTCCGGGGGTCGTAGATGCCAATTCTTGGATGTGAGTTGCAAACTGAGGGCTGTTCTTGTACTTGTTTGAGAGCTCATTGAGTTTTTGGAGGAGACAAGCAATCTTTTGAGAACAGACTACATCGGCTACCTCTTCAAATTCTTCGGGTCCAGTCATGGAATTTGGCTTTAAACTTTTGGTAAAGTACTTGAGACATTCACGAACTCCATGATTGATCACGTGAGCTAGACATCCGTTCAGATTTTGGGATCGAGAAAACTGTGGAATGACTTCTTCAAGAGCGGAAGCTAGGGTACCGTGGTTGGATGCGTTATCGGTGGTGATACAGTAAAGTTTAGAGCGTATCGAAAATTCATCAA